CACACACAAAGTCAAGATCTGTGGTGGGAGTGCAGGCAAGGAACGTGGAATCAACTGAGGTACTTGGCACTGTTGTACAGAATGTTAATGGAGGGTGGGATGGGCAGCTGGAGCTGGTAACTAATCTAAGTCCACTTTTAGTAACACTTTACCATTTCATTGATAGTATAGGCATTTTATAACAGAGTTTCCTAATTCCACTTTCCCGTTCTTTATAACATTGCTGTCAATTATTTAATTTGTGTATTTACTATTAATTTGAATGAATATTTTTATTTGATCTATTAATATAAGAAAAATATTTTAATTTACCTTTATTTATTGCTTCTCTAACATTTTCTTTCTTTATAAAGATATGAGCTTCTGACCTATACACAATTTTGTTTCTTCCCAAGGAACTTCTCTTAAAATTTTTTGTAGGACAGGTCTGCTGGTCATGAATTTCTTCAGTTTTTCTTTTATAAAGTCTTTATTTCTCCTTTATTTTTAAAGAATAGTTTCACTAGAGATATTTTTATGTTGGTATCTTTTGTTCTTTTAACACTTTATTTCACTCTTTCTCTCTTCTTGTTTGTATGATTTATTAGAAGTCCACTGTATTTTTTAATCTTTTTCTTTTATGGCTTACCCCCCTCCCCAGCATTTTATTTATTTAATTAATTTATCTATCTACCATCCATCTATTATTTATTTAATTAAATACAAATTTAATATGATATTTTGTGGTATAAATATTTTTATGTTTATCTTTCATGGTGTTTTGTGAGCTTTCTATATCTGTGGTTTGGTATCTGTTAATAATTTTTGAAAGGTATAGGTCGTTATTCAAACATTTTTCATGATCCATTTGCTTTTACTTCTCCTTCCGGTATTCCAATTGTGTATATGTTATACCTTTTGAAATTGTCCACAGTTCTTGAATATTATCTTCTGCTGTGCTCCTCTTTTTTTCTTGTATTTATGCATTTAGTTTTTGCTTTGTGTTTCATTTCAGGAAGGTTCTATTGACTTAAACACAAGATCACTGCTTCTTTTTTTGGTTGTGTCCACTCTAGGGATGAGTCTATCAGGGGCATTCATCATTTTGTTACAGTGTTTTTTATTTCTAGCATTTACTTTTACATCTTTCTCAGTGATTTTTCTCTATACTTAAAATACCCATCTTTTCTTGCATGCTGTTTACTTTTCCATTTAGAACCCTGAAAGTATTTACCATGCTCCTTTTAAATTAACTACCTGATCACTCCAACATATCTGTGCTGTGTCAGGTTCTGTTGATTATTTTGTCTCTTTGGACTTCATTTTTCTTGTCTTTTGGCATACCTTATAAAAGTTTGGTTAAAAGGTAGACATGATGGGTAATAGACAGTGAGGCAAATAGACCTTTAGTGTATGGTTCTATGTTAATCTGGCTTGTGGTTGGGTTTTGTTTAATGTTTGCTGTCAATGCAGATGCCAAGGGCTTTAACACCTTCTAGTGTTTTCTTTCTATATATTTGTGTATCTTAGATTTCCCTAAGAACTCCTTCTTACAACTTCCCCACTGTCATCCCCTGTTGTTACAGTGGATCCCTGTTTATGTGGTGCTAAGGAGTGGTGGAAGGAGATCATCTCTGACTTTATGATTACATTTCACTCTTTTAGTCAGTATATTCCTGGGCTAAGACCTTCATAAGATTTTCTTCACTTTTTACCCCTTATGTGAGACAGGAAGGCTACAGGGGGTGGAGCCAGGGAAACGCTCTCCTCTCAGGTGAGATAAAACTCTGGTAAAGTCATTTTTCACTGAAAAGTAGGCAGTGGTAATGGAGAACATTCTGCATGCATTTCCAAGTGGTTATTTTCCCCCTTCCCTTGTCAGAGACAGGAGATGATTTTTTAAAAACTGTTCTTCATGTGAGCATCTGTTGTGGGTCTGTATTGGAACCCTACCTCAGATTGCAGCCTTCAGGAGATTTTTACTTTCACTCGAGCCCACTCACAGATTCCAACAACTTATTAAAATGACCACTTGTGTATTCCAGCCAATTTGTGTCTCTGGCAGATCCTGCTACAGGTGAGCTGATCTTGACTATTACCCTCTGTATGCACTCACCTGTCCAGATTTTAGAGTGGCGGTTTTGCCTGAAACCTGAAATATCTGATGGATATAAGAATAGTCATAGATTTTCTATTTGTTCAGCCTTTTTTTATTGTAAAGACAGGAATGACCATTTCCAAGCTCTTTGTTTGTCAGAACTGAAAACTGGAAGCTACCTTTAAATTCACTTGAACCCACCTGTATGGAATATCAGTTTGAAGGTTTGCCAAATCAAGAGGGTTCTTTTTAGTGTTCCCACATTTCAGCTAACTCTGGGTAGGAAGACAAGCAATTAATGAATCTCAGGTTAAATGCAGCCACTAAAATGTAAATGATTCTTATAAAGACTGTGAGAAAAAGGAAGAAGATTCAAAATAACAAATTATGAAAACAAATTTGTATTAATGGATCAAAAGAGTCCAATTGAAAGCAACTGTATAACAACAATCTCAGTTTTTGAAAGAAATATTTTGAACAGAGTATCTAGTATAAACCTATGAATAATCAGAACGAGTAATAGGTTGATTCTATTCAAAACATTTATCCAGGATTTTGAAAAAGCCCCTCAAGCTCTCAGGATCAATAGTCTCATTTAGATAGAAGCTCTGAACTAATGGGCCAAAAGCTAAATTAGGCATTTTGATATATTATTCTTTTAAAAAAATAAATGGGCTGCTGACATTAACGATTGGGTGGTTTCCTCTAGAAAACCTGGATGCTCCAGAAACACTTGGCTGATGTTGCTCCTGCGCGCCCTCTGTAGGAGCAGAGCAGGGGCTCGCCTCCTCCCTGCCAGGCACCCTAGTTTGTCTTCTAAACCTAGTTGTTAGATGTTAAAGAAAACAAGAATGAAAACAAAAACCTAGCAGGTCTTCTATAGAACCTGAACATCAGATGGAAATTCAGGATGTCGGTTACATTTCAGTAACATGTCCATTCAGTTCAGTTTCTCCATGGATAGTTTACAATAAACAAATTCAATTAGAAGCACACATACAGGTATTCCCACTGGTTTTTGGATGTTTGTATTTTTGGATTGTTGGAGACCCTTGCCTCTTCCTAATTATCTCCATATCTTCTTTTTGTTCCTTGTTAATTTATTCCATTTTTGCAGAAGTCTGACCCGCTTCTGTAAACCCATTTTGTAGGATGCAGATTCTGATGAAAGCCATGGTCATTACTGCCACTCTCAGAAGTACTTTAACAGAAAACGTTTTTCCCTACTCTTCCTAACCCATCCCACTGATACACATTTCCTCAAGGATAACAACTAGTTAATAGTATATTTAATAGTTTATTTTACTTTTTTAAAATCTGCATTCTGCGTAGTTGCATAAGAAATAGACACAGAATATATGTATATGTATAAATTCTATGTACATATATACATACAATGTTTTCTGCATTTTCCTTATATAACCAAATAATTCATATAGGCATATTTTTTGTACCTTGATGTTATTCTTTTGAATGGCAACGTAGTATTTGTTTGTGGATATTTTTATTGTTTTCAGTTGTTTCTTGTGTGTTTGCTTTCTGTTTTTTTTTATTTAAAATTGTGTTGCTGGCATACTCTGGTGATTATATCATATTAAATGTTTATAATTATATTAATGATGGCAATTCCTAGAAATAATATTCTTGATAAAAGAGTATGTATATGTAACATTTTGGAATATCTATAATAATAAAAGGGTAATATGCTAATTAGACCGGATGTCCTTCCAGACGAAGCCTGGGCTGGAGGGAAGCCCTGGTCCCAGGTGGCTGCTGGTGGCTGGGGCAAAGCCCGGGTCCTGGGTGCCTGCTGGCATCCAAAACAAAGCCCGGTCCCGGGTGTTGGAGGGAAGCTGGTGCCGGCAGCCAGGAGAAGGAAGGCCTACTCTTGCACAATTTTCATGCATCAGGCCTCTAGAATTGTCAATATTTATCCCAACAGATTAGCACCATCTTTACTTTTCTCAAATCTTTGTCTTTACTATATATTCTTAAAATTTATTTTTTTATTCTGATTTTCATTTATTCACAATGTGTATAATTGTATACCTTCTCATTTGCATGCTATATACCCATATTTTTCTGTGAAATTCTTGGTCATACATTGTACATGAATATCTAAATTCCAAAATCTCTGTAGTTTGGTTAGCATTCTACAAACGTCATTTCTCAGGAGAGTTTTTATCTGAAGTTTCTAGAAGAGAAACCTGCCGTCCCTACTGCCTTTTCAAGGGCTAAGATCCAGAGAAAGATGACTGGGCACCTGCCTGGGTGAGACGCCATGTGATACTTACCTTGAGGCAAAATTGTTCTTAATATATCATCTCTGTAGGTTTTCTTTAGACTCTTGTGCTTATGCGGTATCATAGTCAAAGGTAAAACCAAGAGTTAGTAACTATAAAGAGTGAAATGATCACAAATTTCTCTTTTTAGGCACAGTAAACACTATCTGGTAACAGACTGAAGGAGGGAAACAGTGAGGGAAACTGTGGACAGAGACACTGAATCAATGTCCTCCATAATTTTGAGAGTGTTCTGAGTTTCATTCAATCAGCATTTATTGAATCCTAATATTAGTAGTCAGCTACTAATTAATATTTTAATAAAATTTGCATTCAAAAAAACATGCTTGTGTTTATTTTGGCTGTGCCATGGCTGTGGATTTAAATGAAAAGACAGGCTCAGGATTCTAAAATGAAGAACCCTCTTGAATGGACCTCACCTAGTCACAGAGGGTGTGGGGCAGGGATGGGAGAGCATGCTCAGTGGGAGACACGGGCTGCGAATGATGCCTCTGCCATGCTCCTGACCGGTGGCCAGAGGAATGTTCCTGGAAGTTCCATACCTTGTCAATATCTATCTGTAGTGTTGCAGGCCCTCCGCTCATCCTCCTGCTCAACCTTGTGCATGTGATTCCCCACAGTACTCAAAGGCGGAGAGGCATCCCGTGACGGCACTGGAGAAAATGATGGAGTCAAGCTTTGCTGGCCCCCAGTCATTTCCAGAGGTCCCTTCTGACAGAGGAAGCCAATCTGTCAAACACCACAGGTACAGGTAGTTAATCATGGCGGAATGGGCGCATTCACACCGTGTGTGACTCTGGACAACACATGCCCAGAAATGGCAACACTGTTTAGGAGAGATGGTTGTTCTTGCTTCTCATGTGGTTGTCCATGGAGTGGATGCTCAAGCAGCTCACAGCAGGTAAACCAGACACCAGCAGGCTGCAGTGCCCCTCTACAAAGCCGAAAGGAGCTGTGAACAACACCCATCAAAGCTGCAGCTACAGACCAGTGGGTGAAATAATTGCATTCTGAAATAACTATTACAAACATGATTGTTTCAGCCGGCCTTATCACTCTCTGCAGATTTAAGGACTAATTCTTCTCTGGGAAACTGATGCGACATGTTCCAGGTCTTTCACCATGACTCTCAAACAAAGAAACTTTCATGGGGGAAGAATCCTGGCAAATCTTCTTGGATCTGTAAGATCTATGATCAATGGGGTGGCCATCCTTTACAAGCTGACCATAGCAATTGGCTCTTTGGGGAGAAAGCCAAAAATAACGTTATCTTACAAATTTTATAAAATTCTGAGGCTGAAAACTTCTTAGTCATCTTCTAGTCACATACTGTGTTTTATACATGAGGAATCTGGAACTCTAAAAACTGAAAATTTTTGCTCTCAAACAAGTGCCAAAGTTTGGGACTAGTGCTGAAGCAGACATTATGTTTATGGCATTTAAATGCATAGCCTTTATCCTTGTAGAAGTTGTCCCAAGATTTGAGCTTTCTTTTCTTAGTAAGAAGTATAGTATTTAAAATTTAAAAAAATAACATTATGAAGAGATAAAAATTTGTAAAAAGAAAATATGAAAAATCACAGTTGTTCCCATCAATGAAATGTAAATATTGGTTTTTACACATCCAGGCAGTGCTTTGCAAACCACCCGGACAGAAGCACACATTGTACAAGGAAACAGTCTTCTTCCTTGCTTTTCAATGGGCCCAAAAAAGATTTCATTGATGCTGACATGTTGCTTTGAGGTTTTCTGTCACTCTGTACGATTAGAGACTGAGATACTAAAGGTTTGCTGTTTTTCAAAAGGTGATTTAAATATTTTTAGCTCAGGATTTAAATGTTTAGTTATTGGATAATTGCTTTAGTTATTAACTACATATTTTGATTTATATCAATTAAGGAATTTGTAGATATTTCCCTCTTAAAAAAAAAAAAAACATTTCAGTTCCCTGGAGCTAATAGAAGTTCTTTAATTAGGGAAATAAGTCCAAAATTACGAGCATCTTAGAAGATGAATATTTTCTCCAAAACAGCATTTCCCCCTGCTGATTATAATACGTGTTAAAGTGGCATTGCACCCAGTTAAGTAAACTAATTAAGTATAATATTACTCCAGCACTACGTTATGCCATTGATGTTTTAAAGTTGAGATAAAAAAAGAATTACAGCTTCTATCGTATTTGTGCTGCAAATACCCTACTCTTCCTCTTCTCTGTTGACATCCTCCCTCCTAAATGTGGCTCCCGCTGTGGTTTCTAGGAAATAAGGATGCCTGTCGGAGACCTTCCTTTCTGTTTGGTTCAGTGACATTGCAGTGTTGTTGGCATGCATCGTGTCATGGTAGATAGGCAAGGACTGATTCATAAAGTGCCTCTAAAACTTTGAAGCTACAGTTTAATATCTCAGAGCTTTGTTTTGTAAAACATGCAGGAGACTTAAATGTTTTCACGACTGGCAGCCCGGTCACTGATTTATGTAGCCTGCCAACTGCTCCATGACTCCCCGAATGCTACTGCGTTAGCAGGCTAGACTAGCTGGCTGATCAGTAGTGATGGAACTGTTTTTAAGATGGGCCACTAGTTCATATGGTAGACTTTGCTGCCAAGCAGTTTGGCTAGCTATGAATAATTAATTTATTGCCTTGCACTGCAAATATGACATATCTGGATAGCTCATTTATGAAACAAAGCTATTAATTCAAAGCATTATTTCTTTTTAGTCAAGAATATTTCTTTTTTAAAAAGAATCCTAGTATGTCATGTCTTACTTATTGCATTGTACTTGGCAATGTAAGTCACTGATAGATAGCACACATCTAAGTACTTTTAAAGGGGGAAAGAAGTCTGAGTTTTCAATGATTTGTGTGAGAGGAGCCAGGGGAGCTCATTGTACTGAGCACCTGTTACGTGCCAAACACTTCACACTTTACCGCTTTTACCCCCATAGCAATCTTATGAAAAGACGTAAGCATGATGCCAGTGCCTTTCTCCACACATGTCTAGTCTTCACCTCTCTGCCAGCACTGCTCTGTGCACTAGAAGGGCAGCAGGCTCCCTTGTCCTCTAGCTTCCGTCGGCTCAATGGGAGGTGCCTGCATGTGATGGGAGGGCCAAAGAGAGCGAGGTTCCATTACTTCCACCCCCCTCCCTGCTTGGCTGCCTCAGCTATGGCCCTTTTCCTGGGGCCAAAGTGCCTGCCAAGTGGCCCTTTCCTTATAATCGCCTTGTCTCTCCATTCTGCTAACAGCTCCCTCTCCTTGTCCCTTAGGTCATAGGGATAGTAACAGCTTCCTGTTGTCACTAGCCTTGACATACAGCAGTATCCTCTGTTGTCCTTTTTTTCTCAAATACTGGGCACACCTTTGTAAATGGCAAACTTTCCCCCAAATGACCCAACTTAGCGTGTCATCTATTTTCCTCCAAGACTCTAACTCAGTGATGGTGAACCTTTTGAGCTCAGCATGTCAGCATTTTGAAAAACCCTAACTTAATTCTGGTGCCGTGTCACATATAGAATTTTTTTTTATATATTTGTAACCATAGTAAAACAAAGATTTATATTTTTGATATTTATTTTATATATTTAAATGCCATTTAACAAAGAAAAATCAACCAAAAAAATGAGTTCGCGTGTCACCTCGGACACGTGTGTCATAGGTTTGCCATCACTGCTCTAACTGGTACCAGTACTTCCCCCAGGGCCATGCTGCTAATGATGTACAGACCAGAGATAAACACCCAGATCCAGCTAACCCTAGCACGCAAGCCTGAGCACCCTTCAGACTCCATAACTGCTGCTGGATGGTGCAGATAGAAGCTGGAGGGAGGGAAAGGCATGAGCTGATACAGAGCTTCATAGACTTGTTGACTTTGTGAGACCCCTTGATATTAGGCATCTTGGGACTCGACATGCAAGAAATATTATGAGAAATAATTAAGTTGTAATAATGTTGCCAGGCATAATCTGGTGTTTGTACTAACTCAGGAAGTCCATGTTGGGTTGAGAATATGAAGTTTTATTAGTCATCTTGGTTCTCAAACTCTGGCCTTAAATAATATTTGAGAAGTTGTTTTGTTCAGTAGAAATAACAGCAATATTCATGCAGGAAAACATACAGAACTTCAAATAATAAAGTGATATGGGTAAACTCCTTTGGGGGACTGGTCTGTTTAAAACCTGATAGGTTTATTGACATTTTGAAAATGTGTTTAATTTTTTCTGCATAGTTTTATGTGATTTAATCACAAACTGTCATCTTAGGAATGTGTACACAGGAGCCAGTTCTCTGCACTGCTCCCCATGGAGTATGTGAAATTCAGTGGGGTAGAGATGCGAATGGATATGCAACAGGTAGTGTGTCAAATTAGCAACTGATTTTTAGAAAGAATCTTATTCTTTTGTTTAACATGATCTGTATAGGGATCTCACCAAAAGTACATTTCATTTATATATGTTGCCCTTTAGGGGCACCTAAAAACACAGTTATTTTGGTATTTGGACATATGAGTCAGAATGAGATGTTTAGTAAAAGCAAACTAAAAATGGAAAATGATTTAGCTTCTCAAGACTGATGGAATTTTGAGATAATAAACTGTGAATTTAGCACATATGTTAAGGAGAGAATGCCAATCATAATAAAGTTTGTTTATTCTACTGCTAGCACAAGTGAAAATTTCCCCGTAGATCCCTTCAGGGCTACCTGTGTTTGGTCCATGCCAGTGTCTAATAAGAAAGCCACACTTATTGTTATTAGAGATACAGCCACTGGAGCTTGAATACTGAGGGCAGGTGGGAATCAGGAGCTTCAGAATTCCTTAAACCCACCTCTTAATTTGGCCGGAAAGCAGCAATTTTAGCCCATTGTGCTCCACGTTAGAAAGCCAAAAACACAAGAACTTCTCTTGGCCTCAGGCTTCGCAAGGGTAAATGGATTTGGCAACTTCTGATCCCTCCTGGCAGATACACACCAATCATGGGTGGAGTCTGGACAGGGACTTTGAGGCTCTCGGGTGCAAGTGCACTGTTTAAAGGGTTTGAGCAGCCACCTGAAAGGTTATGGCTATGACTGATGTGCTGGTTTTCTCTCCCGCAGCCGGAGTCTCTCCTCCTGCTGCAGTCCAGGACAGAGGAGTGGTGTGCTCCACCGGAACGCCTTCAGGAGGACACCCCCCTCACCCCGAAGTAGGCTGGGTGGGATTGTGGGGCCAGCGTATCAGCAACTTGAGGAATCAAGGATCCCCGACCAGGATACAATACCTTGCCAAGGGTAGGTCTGAAAACAATGAAATGTAGGGAGGGTGTCATTATTGCTATAGCTTTAAGTTGAGTTGCTATGCTCATTGGGGTTTTTTATTCATTGATTTTGTCACCAATAAGCTATTTATACTTCCTTTCATCTTTGTTCTACAAAGGTAAACTAACTTAAAAGGTTAGGTACAATGGAAATATATATTAGGAAAGTGTTTAATCAAAAATAAACATAACATTAGCAAGGAAATAAATGTACACATATCTAAGCACTATGTTATTAAATAGTCACTAAAACAGCTTAGAATTTGTATTCGATTTAAAAACTTGAGATTTCTTAGGAGGACTAAAATGTTTCTTTATCCTTAGGTTTGAATAAAACTACTTAATTCTCTGATAAGTATGACTGTGGACAATACTGTAAACAGTAACCTATAGAACCTATAGCATATATATATATGAGATATATCATATAGGATACACACACACACACACACACACACACACACACACACATACATACATATACATCTCCTATATGATGAAACCCTAATATGCAAATTGACCCAACAGTAGAAAGACCGGGCTCTATGACGCTCACTGTCCACCAAGGGGCAGATGCTCAATGCAGGAGCTGCCCCCTGGTGGTCAGTGCGCTCCCACAAGGGGCGTGCCGCTCAGCCAGAAGCCGGGCTCATGGCTGGTGAGCACAGTGGTGGTGACAGGAGCCTCCCCCACCTCCACGGCAGCATTAAGGATCCCTCAGGAATGTCTGACTGCCAGCTTAGGCCAGCTCCCAGCAGCAGGCGGACATCCCCCAAGGGGTTCCGGACTGTGAGAGTGTGCAGGACAGGCTGAGGGAACTCCCCCAGTGCACGAATGTCATGCACGGGGCCTCTAATTATATATATGTTATCATGTTATCTACTTCCATCGAGCATTCTTGAATGTGTTTCATTTAATACTGACAGCATGATTTCGAAGTACAATTTGCTGAACTCAGATCCCTAGGTTTATTCATGGTGCAGGGATGGAAATATGGGCTTTGGGCACGACAACTGCTATTCCTCCTTGCAGTGCAAAGGGTGTCCTTCCTCTGAGTGGCTTACACGGCTCAAGGTGTGGTGAATGGAATGGAGGATGAACTTTAGTCCCATTCACCTAATTGACTATTCAACCAAACATGGTAGCTCTTACTTAAAATGACTTAAGTTCAAATATTTGGCCCTTAACATCCTGTGTGAATTTGGGATAGTTTTATCATCTAAGCTTAAGGTTTTTTTTCATCTATAAATTGAATAAAGATAATACAGCCTTCCTCAAGGTTGTCGGGTAGATTTTTTTTAAGTTATGTGTGGAAAGAGCTTGTACCTTGTCACATGGCAAGCAGAGATGTAGCACTGGTTTGTATTGTCTCAGGAGCTGTTATAAAATTATCACTGATTTCAAGAATAATGCAATCAGGGTTTACTACAGAAATTTCAGGAACCTGTTCTCTCACACAAGCCAGGTTCTTATCACATCTAGCTTTTATCTCTCTGGAAGAGCCATGCCAGGTTTCTGTGCTGCTTTGCCCTGGGTGATGTTCCCACACTGTATCAAGCTGGAGGCCTAAGCAAGTAGGAAGTCCATCACAGAGCCTTACCCTTGTCTTTTCTTCTGGAAAAGATATATGTGCATTTCTACTCTATCTGACAAAGCTCAGCAACAGATTGCTTTAGGAAGACCAGGAGACAGGAATTAAATAGCCTGTGGCTGGGTTTTGTAATTTTGAAGCAATTCCGAATGTAGTGCAAAATGTAGTTGGTACAGATCTGCAAATTCAACATAACAGCCAAGTTATCCAAAATGTCTGATATAATGCAAGTCAAGAAGTAGCTGGCCTTCTCTTTGCCTTATATTTGGAAAGGGGGTTTGTATTTAGCCTACAATGACAACTAATCAGATTTCATAATTATCTTCCTTCTTAAATCACTAATATTGCCCGTTGCCTAGGAATAGCATACTTTGTGACTGCAGAGGGGGCCCAGCCCATGCTGTGTTTCTTTCTGACGGGCATGTTTTGGCTGTCGTTCCATATGTCCAGGTGTAAGGATGCTCTGAGCTGCTTCAACCACACATACATGAACTTTCAGAGGCTCAGAGGTGCCCATCACATGCTCAGAGGTGCCCTGCTTTGTCTTTTACCTCCTGGGAGACTTCTACTTTCTGTCTGCATGGTGGTGGTTTTGTTTTGGTTCAGTCATCATCGGGGTTGGAATATTCTCTCCAGCTGGCTGGCCGCGTGTATTTTCCTGTGTGTGATATGCACCCAGTGTTGATAAATGGTGACTCTAAGTATAAGTCACGGTGTGCTCAACACAATGAATCTCAGGGAGCAATCTCATTCTCAGTTCTTGAAAACAGCTATTTTCCACTCCTGGGGGACTTTCCATCTCTCTGGACTGGAAATAGGATCTGTAATAGAATTTCACAGTTAAAGGCCCTCTTCAAATCTGGCCCTAGCCTGGAGGGGCAGTGATTGAATTTGCAAGAGCCATCAGCCATCTGCTGCTTGTTTATCACGCATGTGAGTGCTCTCTGCTAGGTAGACCCCGGTGGTGGGACTTCTCTCCGTGGCACTGACTTCGGCCCAGTTTGAACCAGTAGTTATCTCAGTGAAGCCGGAGGAAGGTGTGAACTGGTAGCTATTCAGGAACCTTTTTTCGGATTAGTGGGGTCAGAGACAGCCACGGTCCCAGAGCTCTGAGCTGTGTTATGTCAGGCAAACCAAACTAATGTATTCATATGCTAGATAGAAATAAATGGAGTCACAAAAGCTAGACTGCCACCTTCAAAGTAGAAGGGATACGAAGTATACTGACTGTTTGCCGTATATAACCTCCCAATTCATGGGTCAACACTAACCACTGAGCATCATCGGCCTGGCAATATTTCACCTTTCCTTAGTTACTGAGGAAATGAACTGGTTATTTCTTTGTTGAGAGATCAGAGTAACAACAGTCCAAATTGGCATTTTACAGACAATGAATGACAAGCTCATGGATCAAAATTGTGAACAAGTGATTGACTGTCAGGGATCAGACTGCTGCCTGTCTTCCAACCCAGATCACATCTAGAGGTTGTGCTCCCACTTAAACTCATGGAGAAGAGTAACCTGCTTCTCCTCAATGCCAGTGCTGGACTCACAGACTCAGGGAGGGAAGAGGGAGTTACCAGCATCCTCTGGGGAATAGTGCAGAAGCATTACTTCAGTTAGTTCTCAGAGCAATCCCCCAGAGCACTGTCACCACCTGATTGTTTTAATTGAGGAGAAAATTAAAAGGAGGCTGCAATTCATCTAAAAATGGTGTTGGGGCTTGAAGTCATGTCTGATCCAAAACAAAAGCACATTTGGGAGAGTTCACATCTTCATGTTATGGTAACATTTTAGATTGCAGTTATTGGCAGCTGTGTGTCCCATGTCCCTTAACTGAACTTGTGAGGTGACCTAAAGGTCAGCTGAAATTCCTTTCTCATCTACACCCTTAATCCAGCAGTCAGGCTTGTTATAAGACTGCTTCAAGTTTGGCTTGAATTGCCTTTGATCACTTCTTCATCAGGCCACATTGTTAACTTATTAAAGCTATGATTGTCTAAATCCTCTAAGACATTTATACATTTATCTAATACTAGAGGCCCAGTTCACTGATTCATGCACTGGTGGGGTTTCTCAGCCTGGCCTGTGCTCTCTCACAATTCGTGACCCCTCACAGGATGTTGGAGAGCTGGTTTCGACCTGATCCCTGCAGGCCAAGCCGAGGGACCCCACCAGTGCATGAATCCGTGCACCAGGCCTCTAGTATGCATATAAGAGTTTTGGTTAATCTCTTCCTGCTCTCCCCTCCCTTACCTCTGAGATTCATCAGTCTGTTCCATGTTTCCATGCCTATGTGTTGAGCATCTGCTCCCAGTGGTCACTGTACATCATAGACCGGGTGGTTGGCTGGTTAGCCAGTCACTTAGGCTTTTATATATATAGATTTTTGCAAATAATGTTTAGATCCTGGTATAAGAATTTGCATCTATGATCATCACATTTCAAACCTATTAAATTCTACCCACTGATATACTCTCATGATATTTGTGAGAAATACAATTTTATCCTAATTACATTTTTGTCTCTGTGAGGTTAGTGAATCTGATAGTAGAGATTCTGTATCTTCATAGATATTAATGGTGTTAACTGGATGATATTCAGGACAAATACAAAACCCTCTAATTTGTTCCATTTCTTCTTGTTGAAATTGATTAGAACACTTAGGCTTAGATTTTCAGTCCCAAAACACCAAAGCAAATGGACCAAAATCCCTGGAAAATTTCCTTTTGCGGGGTGGCTATACAGTGTACACAGGTAGAGATTATGCATCCTTTGAAAAGTGTTCTAGTGCACCTTGGATGCCCACTCATTTCTGGCTTTCATAGTAACAATTAAAATAAGACAACTTGCGTTTAACTTCTTCCTCTTCTGCTTACGAAAGGTAACTTGTGCAAGTCATTTGAGTACCCCTTAGTCCAATTTCTTCTTTAATAACATGGTAATAATAATAAGTAAGCCAAAGTTTTAAAAATAGTGAAGCAATTCAAGGTGAAAGTACTTTTGAAAAACACTATGCAGCCTGACCAGCATGGCTCAGTGGCTGAGTGTCATCCATGAACCAGGAGATCACGGTTCTATTCCTGGCACATGCCTGGGGTGTGGGCTCCATCCCCAGTAAGGGTGTGTAGGAAGCAGCTGATCAATGATTCTCTCTCATCATTAATATTTTTACCTCCCTCTCCCTTCCTCTCTGAAATTAACTAAAAATATCTTTAAAAAATAAAATCACTATGCAAATGTTAGCTCTTGTTAGTATGTTTGAAATGGATGCTGATTGGGGTATAAAGTGTTTATCTCTAAGGTATGCTATGTTCTCACATGCCTGCTCCATCAAGATTTATTGGTTACCCACTCTGTACTAGGCACAGTAAGAGAGGATGGGACTACAAAGACACCTAAATTTGCTCCCCATCTTTTCTCACCATCTGATAGAAAGAAAGACCTCTAAATTACTCCCATCGTGCCCTTAAATAACGATTTCTATTCAGTATGCTACACACTTCATCGCAATTATTCTTTCCTTGTATAAACATGACTTTTATTTATATTACAATGTAAGACTAGGGGAATGCTAGGTATCATATGGAGGGTAGATATGTTTAGATTACACTTAAATTTTAATGTTTAATTTAATGTTTAAATTAGGGATAAATAACAGAAATAGAGTAAAAACTACTGTTCAAGTCCCCAAACCACAATTCTTCAATCTATGACTAGCTGACCCACACTGTGGCACTGGGAAGCTCAGAGGCACTGGGAAATTCACTAGCTCTGAACTGGCAAGAAAGGGCCTAATCAGATTCTGGAATCTTCAAATGACTTGAATAGCATGCTGGCATTCTTGACAAGCCATTGACAGTTAGAAACCACACTGGCTGCAGAAACTACGTATAGGAAGTTGCTAGATTGGTAGAGGCCTTACGAAGCTCACTTCATGCTTGTATTTGGACAGAGAGAAGAATCATGTGCCTCCCATGCCCCGTTAGGCTCAGCAGTTTGTAGTGAGGCAATGCCCAAGGAGCAGAGTGCCGATAGAAATGGCGTTCGTTCCCCTAAAGTTGTGAAGCAGAAAGACTCTGGACTCTAGCACCTTAATGCTTAACGCGGGGCTTCCCGGTTTCTCCAAGTAGGTTGGCCACATGAGTACCAAACCAGGGCTGAGAGGGTGGTCGAGTTGATGGAGTGGAGTAATGCCGTTATGGGTTTCCTGTTTGTCACTATGGAAAGGCCACACTTACCTGCTCAATCCCCATTTACTTTGTATTCTAGGATAGAGGTCAGGAAGACTATATCCCACCTGCCTATACAGCTGTGGTGTGTTGAAAGATCCCTGGACTTAAAGTAAGAAGATCTGGGTTTGAGTCTCAGTCTGTCACTTATTTTCTGTGTGACCTTGGGCAAGTCACTGCACCTCTCTGAGCTTCAGTTTCCTTCTCTGTTTATCTGGGAACATATTCTGCGTCTGATGGGGTTGCTGTGAGAAGTCAGTGAGGTGGTGCATGTGGCAAGTGCTTTGCTGGCTGGCGAGTGCTCTGAAGAAGCGCCGGCAGAAGGCAGGCTGTCTCACACTCTCTTTCTTTTCAGGTATTCATCCGCCGGTTTAAATACTCAACAGGATGCATCAGCCCATATGCAACTGCCTTCGAGAGAGACAAACTCCTATTTTAATAGCTTGGATCAAAAGGACCTGCTGGGGTATTCATCCCCAAGGGCCAGTTCAGTGCCCATCATCCCTTCAGTGGGGCTAGAGGAAACCTGCATCCAAATGCCAGGGATTTCTGACGTCAAAAGCATCAAATGGTGCAAAAACTCCTACTCTGCTGATATTGTCAATGTGAGTATTCCAGTCAGCGATTGTCTTTTAGCAGAACAACAAGAAGTGAAAATACTGCTAGAAACTGTCCAGGAGCAGATCCGAATTCTGACTGATGCCAGGAGGTCAGAAGACTACGAACTAGCCAGTGTAGAAGCTGAGGACAGTGCGAGTGAAAACACCGCCTTTCTCCCCCTGAGTCCCATGGCCAAATCGGAACGAGAGGCACAATTTATCCTAAGAAATGAAATACAAAGAGACTCTGCGTTGACCAAGTGACTTGAGACGTAGGAATCTGTGCATTCTATGCTTTGCTCAACAGGAAAGAGAGGAAATTAAATACAAATTATTTATATGCATTAATTTAAGAGCATCTACTTAGAAGAAACCAAATAGTCTATCGCCCTCATATCATAGTGTTTTTTAACAAAATATTTTTTTAAAGGGAAAGAAACGTTTCAGGAGGGATAAAGCTTACAACTAAAGCTTTCGGGTGGAATTCTGAATACAATTTCAGTTAGTCCCAACATTATCCTCTTTGGCTCTTGGTAGATGCGGGCGATTCAGACCCTCAGCCCCACAGCACTGTGTGCTCGTCCAAAAGCACTGGCAGGTACCTGGTTTCAGAGACCAGCTGCGCCCGAGGGCGGGTGTGCCTGTGCGCAGACAGCCCTTGCCATTTGGCTTGGCAGTCCCAACCCCTAAATTTCTCTTCACTCGACAGCCTCATCACAGGTTATGTCATGTCAACCAATGTAGTGTTTTCTATTTCATTTTGAGAACGGCCCAGGCCTGGGGAGGAGAAGGAGGACAGAGATAGAGGGAGCCATTGGGGGCAAACTCAGCTGCTGTTCCGTGCCATCTTCCTCTGAAATTTGAAGGTGCAGAATCTCAGAGCAAGATATGAAATCAATCTATAAAAAAGGACAAAAAAATCAGTGTCATGTCACTAAAGTCATGCTGATAGAAATGTTTTTCTTTGAGATCGTTTAGGACGCCAAAGGAGCATTTCTCAGTGTGTGTGTGCGCCTGTGTGTGTGTGTTTGTGTGTGAGAGAGAGAAAATGTGTGTGTGTGTGTGTGTGTGTGTGTGTGTGTGTGTGTGTTTGCTCCCTCGAGCACTGGTATGCTGTATGCACATGTGTTCATTGTATGTGTGTGCATGTGTGTGTGTGTGTATTAAGCTTGCTAAACTTTGTTCTGAAACATCAGGGAATCTAATATTAAAAAAAAATTTCCCTCTTAGATCTGTTCACTTTAAATTTTTCCATTAAGTATAAAGTTCAGTTAGTAAGTTCTTACATCAAAGTCACTTGCATGGTGGGGTCCTATAAAACTGTTGACAATGTCTAGACCATTTTCTGATGTGAATACTTCTGAGAGGAACAACTGTAGGTTCATTGATGATATCTGTATCACAGGAGAGTTGAATGTGTGTGTTTATTTTGAATCATGCGTACTTAAATTATTCACACAAGCCGATGACCAAATTGACAGTTATCCTTTGCTTTTTCATGAGCCTCATTAGTATTTATTTTGTAGTTAGTCTACAACTTGTGGACCAAGATATTGGCTTCTGTGGTTAATATGGAAAGAATAAATTGTTGAAATCACAAAGGCGAGTATTCAGTTCACAGGAAGTCCTCAAAAGAACAGTAAATTGTATTGTATGTTCCTTTGGAATAAAGCAATATTTTTACCACTGCTGAGGTGAGCGGGGACTCCTCCTGGAGATTTGTCTGTTTTATTTACCCTTATTTTGATGGGGGCATTCAAGAAAATTAGTGTTCACATAACCAGTCTTTTTCCAATTATTGGTGGTGTTGTTATGTTTACACTGTTTTAAATAAAAAGGCACAGTATTTGAAAGTATATAAAAGATTTCTTTTACTGCAGTTGGGGAAACCTTATTTAAAATTTTCTTTTTCCATTGAGAAGAAATGTAACTATTTCAGCGTCAGACATCGAACATATACAACACTTTTTTGAAGTTAAGTTGTTTCTGTTGAAAATACTTTGCAAATTGCTCTTTGAGAACATTCTTTAATAATAGACACAATGCCACACAGGGAAGAAAGGACAGTATGTTTTTCAGCACTGTTTTGTGAAAATTCAAGGTCTCAAATGTTGAAAACATTTTGGTAGAGATGCATTTTATATGCAACAAAAGGTTCGTGGTACTCATCAGTTGTCCCATTATAGTTTTGTTGTTTTTTAATTTATAGGTAATGTTAGCCTCTTAAAAGATGTTTATATATTTTTTATTTCTAGATCATCTGTGTTCTCATTTTAAAATTATGATATCTTTGGGAAAAAATTGGAAAAATAGTCTTAGCAGGTATATAAAACCCTCTTAAGGTACATATAAAATATGTTATTGTGTTGCAATTTGTTATAACTATAAACATTAACTAGAAGGCCTCACAAGTTTGTTGCTGTCAACCTCATTCTTGGTTTTTTCACTGAAACGTTCCTTGTTGCTTATCTGAAAGAGTCAGACATAATTTATCTATTTAGGAGGTTATATACTCTGTGACTCACTGTGGCTGTTACTATATTATTTACTCTGAAAAGATTATCAGTCAAACATAAGTCCTGGTCCAACCCATTATTTTTCAAAGAAGAACCATGTATTGTGTGATTGTAAACACCCTGGTGCATTCAGAAGAACATGACCATCAGGCACACCCACTGGAGTCTCATGTGAAGTTAGAGATATAGGTACTTCCTAATTGATAGTCAAGACAAACTCTTCCATAAAGAATAACTATCAATGTTATGTTCAGTAGTCATTTCTCTCCTTTTGGAATATGAAACTCTCCTTTGAAAAAGGTCCAAGCTCAAAATGCTTATTTTGGGCACCAGCAGACAAATGCTGAGAGCACCAAGACTTGCAAAGCTGATCTAACATGGCAAACACCTGGAGCCATCAGTACCTTGTCCTTTGAGCTCAGGTGCCCACAAAGAAACACGTCTTTCTACAAGACACCTTTGATTATGCTTCACTTTCCTCGTCTTTATTATGTAAGCAGGTTTGTAATAAACTAAGTCGAATACTTGTTATTAACTGGAAAATGAAAGTCAGTTCTTATTTTTACTCTGAATCATCTTCTGCTATGAATGTTGTTCATAAAGCCTATGTTAGTCTAATTTGCCAGTGACTGCTATGGAATGCATTTGTTCCAAACATGTGACCAACTTTATGCTAATGAGAAATAGTCGAAACAATGTTGGAAAATGGGCATCCAAATTTTCTTCCTGGTTTTCCTATGCACACAAATGATGAAGTGCTCTGTTTGAGACTCTAGTCCAGCGGTTCTCAACCTGTGGGTCACGACACCTTTGGGGGTCGAATGACCCTTTCGCAGGGGTCGCCTAAATACATCCTGCATATCAGATATTTACATTGCGATTCATAAAGTAGCAAAATTACAGTTATGAAGTAGCAACGAAAATAATTTTATGGTTGGGGGTCACCACAACATGAGGAATTGTATTAAAGGATCGCGGCATTAGGAAGGTTGAGAACCACTGCTCTAGTCCAATATCTCTCTACTTTGCTATGGGTTAAGGACTAAATATTTTTAAGTGACTCACATTTCTAATACTTTACATCATTTCTAAGTAGCAGCAGAAAGACCTTCTGTAGGAGAAATAGTGCTGTTTCTAGCACTTGTCAAATTAGTCTGTTTTGATCATAGTAACATATCAGACCTGCCAAAAAGAGAACAAAAGGGATAAGCAGACTTCAAGAGAATGCACACTGGCTTCCAGAGTGAATGACAGTAAATCTACAATTCGAGTGAGGCTCCCAGTGACCATGGCTAAGGCTGTCAATGAGCAGGTGTCCACCAGAACACGCTGGGTGTTACACCTACCAGCAGCATGGTGCTACAGGAAGCCACGCCTCCCTAAGCAAGGGGGGATGCTGGTTCCTTACTTCTGGCCCCATAAACCAGAAAACATTGCCCCTGAGACAAGCTCTGTGCAACATTCCCCCAAGACAGTATGTAGTATACATACCTAGGGACTCAGCAGGAGGGGTGGGATTTTTATTTGATGTTTTGGTACCTGGGAAACATTTTATATATAAGAAATACTTTTTTATTATTCAATTGTATAGATTCAGTGCAGTGTGTTCAATGACAGCATGCCTATACTGTGTTTGTACTTTAGTCTTCAGAAATTCAGTCTTCATCCAGCAAAAACCAGTACAATGTTTCTAGGATGTTCTCAATTTTAAATGTATCCCAACATTTCATGGAAAATGAGGCCTTTAAATAAGCTTTATCTCTTTCCCTTTTATTCTTTCCCATTTAAGAAATAGTGAGGGTAAAGCAAGAAATTCATTCCTTAAAGCCTACATTGTTCTCTCATAATAATCTGTTCCCTACTGTGACCATACACATGCACAAACATACATATATAAATATATAAAATATATATGTATATTAAATTTATGTGTTTCATTATTTTCATAGCTTTATTTTTGTTTAAATTGAAAAATATTAAAGTGATGGCCTTCAGGAATGCCAATGAAATCAAATCATGTAGAGCTCTGCCAACATTTAGATAATAAGGTATTTTTCAGTTCTTTCTCTTTCTTGGGTAAGCAGAAATGTCCTCAGGTTGGAAAAATCAAAAGAACATGAAATAAAATTTCTGCTAGATTATCTCTTAGAAATGAAGATTGAACGGTGAGTGTATATGATTGCTAAACCTATAATGTAAAAGGATCTCAAAGATATTTTTTCCAAATTAAATCAACTTCCCCCAAGGGTCCCTAAATAGGTGCCTTTGACTTCCAGCACTCTTTGCACTCTAGTGAGGTGAAGGTGGAGTGGTGGTGGGGGCTATGGGTAGTGTTGTATACCCAGTGATGACAATAGCAGAGGTGAGCAGACCTAGACGTACTGGGCTTCTACTACTTTGATAACTTTTTGTCATAAATTCCTGTGTTGATTGCATGTGTAATTTTGCCTATGAAAGAATTGTGTGATAGTAAGCAATCTCTTTTGTTGGAAATGCATTACAAAATCATTATATTGAAAGTCATTTTGTGAAAGCTTCTAACTTATCTGCCCATAATAGTAGCTCCATGATACCATTTGCCAAACAAGGAGAATGATCTAGTTCAACTTCTTTCCAAATTGAATAACTTGTTATCCAATCATTATAATTCAGATGTTACCTGGTCATTTGCCATCCTATCATTTCAACACAACCCTTTAGAAAGTTAACGGTTATAAGACTATTTCTGTAAGACTAAAAAAATAATTGGAATGTGTATATGGATCTATGAATAAGACTTAAATATAATGTTCCATTTCATTTCCTTGCAGAAATAGATAAGATTGCTTTTGTGATTGTTTTTAAAGTAAATTTACCTAGGACAGATACTAAAAATGAAGGGTTGACCAAGAAAATACCTAATTTAAAAGCTTCAGCATCAGAACTTTCCCCAGATTTTTGGGTCAAAATTTGCTGCAGATTGTTTTTAAGAGAAACTGCATTCTGTGAACCTTTATCAAAGCCAGAGCAAGGGTTTCTGCAGAGAGGGCATGAGACCTTGAAGATGCTTCCTCTCATAGAGACAGAGGACACTATCATTGGATACACAGGATATTTATTGATATTCTCAATTATTTGCACCTAAAACTCATTCACATAAACTCTCCAATTAATAGTGAAAAAATTCTCTGAAGACACTTTCATATTATAGTTGCAAATAATCCTGTCTTTGGGGGACACAATAGGCCAAAAAATGTAAGGTTTACTTTCTTATTTAATGTTGGTTGTATTTGCTGTTTTTGACAAGTCAATGTCTACTTGACCTTCTTTTAGCATCCCAACTAGCACTATTCTTTCATATATAACTTATCCTCATCAAGATTCTAAAGTCTAAATTCCTTAGTCTTCAATGAAGCAATGCAGGATATAAAATAATTTCATCAAAAAAGTAAAACTTTTCAAGTTTTGCTGTTTATTAAAGTTATAAGGATTCCATGTAGTTGCTTACAAAATCAAAATAGAAAAAAAAGTCTACATTTTGATGTATTTTTAGAAGGCTGAGGAAGCACTTATACAGCCTTGTTACACTTTACATTGATACTGTCCTTTATGAAATCAATATAAATGTAAGGGCTTAAACAATCATGCGTGCACACACATGGTGTGTTAAAACTCAATGTTATACTCCTTTTCCTTAGATTTTCCCCTTTCAGGCCACTTAAGTGTGTCCAAGCCGACACCATGGAAGACCTTGAATTTAGATGTTTCATAGGAAATGGATGCAGCAAGAAAATATAAAGATTATCTTCTATGTTTTTTACAGTCAGCTTTTAAATTATGTTTTCATCAATAAAAGTGTGGAGAATGGACACATTTGTTCAAACTGAAACAAATGGAAGAACATAAAGCTCATTGTCAAATCACTGCACACGCACCAGTGACCACTGTGTATATGTTAAGATAACTAGAGAGAAGCACCTTGGCTCTCTCTTGCTTTTGTAAGTATGTAATTGTAGACATTAAATCTAAATAAAAACACTTTCCATAGTTCTTAATAACTAATATATTTTATTAATGATTTGATCATATTTTAAATAAAGAATTATGTCACACACAGCAAAATGGTCAGCAGAATATTTTAATTGTCATTTTTTTTAATCTACCGGAAGCAATCTTTTGTGCCTGTGATAATAATTCTGTTTCAAGGAGTGTGTATGTATCTCCTTGGTTTTCTTCTGAAAAAAAAAAAATTTTCAAATGATGTCCACCTCTCTATGGGATATGAAAGCTTTGGGAAATGATCCTAGATGTGTGCCCTTTGACATTTCAGTACTGTTGAGTTCCACTGTGTCTGCACTTTGTTTCAGAGAGATATATTGCTTATTCAAAATAAGGATGTGAAGTTCACGATCACTTCAATAATAATCTTGACTTTGTCATGTGAATGTTCATCCTTGACTGCCACACCCTGCTGTATCATCTCAGTAGCCTTTGATGAAGATGGACACTCAGAATCCCTTAGGTTGGTTTCTTACTACATGTTCCTCTTATCTCACTTCCCTTTCATTAAACAGAATTTTTTGCTACATGAGAGAGCAGTGTGATTTTGTAGACAAAAATAGATTTGCTCTTTTGAGTTGCGCTAGTGGAGGAATAAGTGAGGAATGTTTTAAATGTGATAACAAGGTTTATCATGACTTTAGCCAATATTCCCTCATATACAGACATACCCCAGGGCACTTTAATGTTCTTAATATTGTTAACAAGACATTTCAACATCATGATATTGTGTGTGTTTTTTACAACAGTATTTTCCACCATATGAGAAAGGCAAAATCATCTATTTAAGTAAAATAATAAAACAATAAATA